GAAGTGAACTGTTTCCCTAGCCTGCAATGTAAGTTAGTTAAGCTCTTTTCCCTGAAGACAACACAGATGCTGACTTTTTTTTTTTTTTTTTTTGAGAAACACAGAGCAATATTTAGAAACCATTGTCAGCACCTGGTTAGGAACATCAGTCCCTGCCTATGAAACAGACATTATACCTAATTTCTTGTGCTTGTTCCTTGCTCTGCAATTTCACTTGTTTATAGGTAGATTTGTTTGCTTTCTGAGAGTGTTAATTACACTTCACCTTGGCTTTTTAGCCCACCTCAGCTATTATGGGCATGGCATGCAGCTAAAAGACACTTGCTACCCATATGTTACTCCACCACAAAGGTAACTATGACAAAGGAACCAAAATTTGACTTTTAATTACATTTTAGATTGTACGGGAAACAGACCAAGCCATCAGAAAGCCTGCTAGAAGGACATAACCAGCCAGAAGGACATAACCAACACAAATCAACACCAAGCAAAACAAATGTAAACACTGAAAGTAAAATCCATTGGTATTTTTACCACTCTTCATTTTCTCTCTTGCTTGATGTATGCTCTCCCTGAATTACTCTTCCTGAGCTTTGACCCATCTGGCACATACTTAACAAGAAACTAAGGATTATATGCTGTATCCCATGCAGTCTAAATGACTTGTCATTTCCGATTCTACACATTACCTTTGCAGTGGTTTTCATCCCAAGGATACACACAATTCTGGAGTCCATTGCAGACCAATGTATTATTAATACACATATTACTGTGGCAAAAGAATGTGTTGGCTTCACAAGGGGCTAAAAAACAAGAGGGAAAAAGCTGGTATTAAGTAGTAAATCATTCAGCTCTCCACAACAAATACATCTAGGAATGATCATGTAATCTGTAATAGTAAAAAGCTATACAACACAGGTTCCTTGAGCAGATGTAATATTCGACATTGTAGCATTGACAGTCACACACTGTTTATTATTCTGTGGCAAGAGATTTTCAGTTCTGTCTAAGACAGATGGACTTTCCCATAGTCTGACTCTCATAGCTGTAGTGGGTTGGCACGCTGTACATTGGTGGGGGTCATAGATGTGTTATCAACAGTTTTAGCCACTGATCCAAAGCACAGTACCCTATGGGCTGCTATGAAAAAAGTTAACTCTATCCCAGCCAGATCTGGTGTATGGGAAATAATTTGTTTTAAAGTTTGTTGCTGAAACTCCAGTTTTATAAGAAAACTTGTGTGACTCAAAGAAGACATACTTTAGTGCCCATATCAACAGTACTTGAACATTTATACACAGAGAAAATAAAATTATTTTAAAAACCTTTTGGTCATAAGAAAGGCTACAGTAAAAAAGTACACCTTTGATCACAAGTGTGAAAATTAAAAAAAGCAACACTCTTCAGTGTTCCCGAAGCCCATGGTCTAGGACAATCATGCAGATTAAAGCTGTAGGATGAAGGCTTTACTGAAGGCCATATACTATTACTGTGAAGAAGCAGCTTGGAAGCCATCAGAAGGAATTGTACATGCTGCTGAACTGTGCTACTAACTCAAGTGCTGGGAGATCCTTAGGTGTTGGGGTTGTAAAGATACTACTCCAAAATTATATAACATAGTAAAGATAAATTACTCCTCATATTTCTTTTATTAAAATCAAACCAGAACATCTTCCTCCATTTAGAAAAAGAGCTACAAAGTTTATCACTGTTAAATCAGTAAAAATGAGCTGCTTATGCATTTTTTAGCTCAAACAACCCAAAAGCATTATTATAATTATTTTTAAGGGAAAGTTAAAAAATAAACTAAGGCTCTTAACTAATCAGAAAGGAGTTATTATAATCATATTATTAATACTTAAATTTGATGCTTCATGGTAATTTTTCTGCCCTGAAACTTTAAAAACAGTTCCTATGACAACATATATGCATAGTGCAGAGACTGGCTCAGAGCAGATGACTGCTTCAGTGGTTTGCTAACTAAGGACAGTACAAAGGATTTATAGTGTAGAACTTAATGACTCCATATATCATGTCAAGAAATCCACTTTTCAATAAGTGCTTAAGTTCAGATATCCATAACTGACTATAATCTGTTCTTCAGAGCAGTTATGGTCTGTTAAACAAATAGTAAATGCCATCAAAACTTGTACACATCCCCAAATATGCAACCATCCACTCACATATAACAGTATATGTATACTGTATCTCCTAGCCAATGCAGAAGACTGATCAGCCAGACTGGTTCTGACCACAGTTCAATTTTTGGAAAAATCTAGTAAACCATCTCCTAAACTTCAGTGACCGTGGTCAGGTGTTAAGTTTGTTACAGGAATGATTTTACTTTAAATTGGACAGAAAGAGCAGAACAGCACACGTGCATATTAGCAAGGACGGGTGCTTTGCAACAGTCCTTATCTATCTGTTGCTGTCATTTGGGGACAGTGACGACTGAGCCTGGAGGATAGTATGTCACATCATGATGTGACATATCATATAGGGAACCCACCATAGGCACTATCATCCTTTCACACTCTAGCTGCAATCCTTTTCTAAGCAAAAAAGTGAAACAGAGAGGGAGAGAAATTATGAAAGGGAAACCTAAGAAAACCTAAGTAGCCACCCATTCAAAATACATGGTAATAAGTAGGAAGTGCACGAGAAAAGAAGACCCAAATGGAGAAAGCACAAGGAGTGACAGGGGAACAAGGAAAAAAAAAGTAGTGCATGATTAGGAAAGTTTGTGCTAATAAAGCCATAAAGAAGAAGAAACCCCACCAAAGCACCAAAAAACATGCAGAGTGGCATGAAAGGCCTTAGAAGTAATGTGATGACGACAGAGTGCTGTGTCTGAGCAGGCAGAACTTCCTAGGTGTCTATGACTTGTTCTTGACACTTTAAAATCAGTCTGATTTAATCCTGAATGCAACAGCAAAGAAAAGATTAATAATGGAAAAACAACATCCAGAAGAATAGAGAACAATTTAAGGGAAGGAAGGACAGTTGTGTGAGGCAGAAATAAAGGAATTTAGAAGTATAGTGGTGGTAAATAGAAAAGGAGAACTAGAGGAAGGTAGTAAATGAATTGAAAGGAAGAGGAAGAGAGAACTGCACAGCAGCAATAAATGACACTTAAGGCATTCTGCGCTGAAAAGAATGACAAGAGATTTTATATCAAACGAAAAATATTAGGAAATGTTTCAGAAATAAGTGAGAAAAAATAAGAGCAGTACAAAGGATATTTTTTGCAGATTTAAGAAGGGATAATTATGCAAAGTGATGGCAGGGAGATCTGGAAATGAAAGGGAAGAGAAAGGAAGAAAAAAGAAAGAAAATTTCAGTTTCTCTAAATTATGCTGTTGAACTATGGAGGAAAGAGATGGTATGTGAATAAATGTCAAAACTGTATGAATAGTGAGGCAGAGCAGTTTCAAAGTACAGCAAACTTAGCATGAGAGAAACCCAAATGTAAGATTCCTGAACCTAATGACAAACAGCCCCCTCTTGTTCATGTTTATAAAATTAGTATAGTCAAGTCCTCTCTGTGGTCCCTTGAACCTGGAGTGATTAAGTTGGACAAGAAATCAATATATTTTCCCCACTCTAATGAAGGCTTTTTGTTGGAATGAATGAAAGCATCAAGGGAAACTGAAAACTTGTCAGTCCAATTGTACATTGGAGGAATTAGGGTTTTTGTGTCCATGTGGGATGCTGCATCGAGGACATTCTAGTAATAGCAAAAAGATAAATGAACTGGTAGTAAAGAGGATTCCTTTACAGCAAGATGGATCTGATCCTGATGCTTTCCTGAAGCTGTTACAGAACCCAGGGTGGGAGTGAAATCAAGCAGATAAGGTTTGTGGCAGCAATACTTGATAGCTTAACCTGAGTCTTGAACACCATCTATGGCAATGCCTCAATATGTAAATGTTTAAACCTGAGGAAAGGTTGTGGATGTTTTTATGAAAGGAAGCTACTGCTATCATTAGCTTCAACTAGATAAAACAGCACAAACCTCTCCACCCAGCAGAAGCCCTACTCTATATGTCTATGGTCTTCCCCATGACTGTATAAATGCCCTTTAGAGAGCAGCAGGAGTGCACAGAGCTCTGCCTTGGGTTGGGCGAGGAACGAAGTAAGAGTTTTTGGGTCAGAATTAGTGGGCAGCCCAGTGAGGGCCCACAGCTACCAATATTGTAGTTGGTGTCTGCCTGCTACAGACTACCTGATCAGGGACAAGAAGTAGACGAAACCTTCTTCAGACAGCTGGAAGAAGCCTCACGTTTGCGGGCCCTTGTCCTTATGGGGAATTTTAACCACCTGGTATCTGTGGAGGGAAACAGAGCAGGGCACAAGCAATCCAGGAGGTTTCCAGAATGCATTGATGGTAACTTCCTGATACAGGTAATCAAGGAACTGAGAGGAGCTCTGCTGGGCCTCATATTTTTACAAACAAGGAAGAACTGGTCGGGGATGTGAATGTCAGGTGCGGTCCTGGCTGCAACAATCATGAGATGGTGGAGTTCAGGATGCTGCAAAGAGGGAGTAAGGAAAAAAGCAGGATCACAACTGTGGGCCTCAGGAGAGCAAAATTTCACTGTTGAGGGGTCTGCTTGGAAGAATGTCATGGGAGGTGGTCCTGGAAAGATAGGGGTTCCAGGAGAGTGGCAGCAGGGTCAGATGGCCCCAGCAGAAATGTAGAGGCACTGACCAAAGATGCAGTGGTATGGTTAGGAAAGCTGAAGCCCATCTGGAGTTGAATCTGGTGAGGGTTGTAAAGGGAAACAAAAAGGACTTCTACAGGTATGTTAGCTGCCAAAGCAAGGTGGGGGAAAATATGAGTGTGATGCTGAATGGGGCAAAGGTGGTGCTGTCCCTTGGTGACAAAGGACATGGAAAAGGCTGAGGTACTGAATGAGGTACTTCTCCATCTTTTTTTTTTTTTTTTTTTGTGGGATTTGCCTTTTGGAGTTCAAGCACTTGAGATGAAGGAGAAATCCTGGAGCAAGGAAGACTTGCCCTCAGTGGAAGTGGACCAGGTTAGGGAATATTTAAACAAACCGGACAGACACAAGCCCATGGGCCCTCATGTGATGTCCCCAGTAGGTGGCTAATGTCATTGCAGTGGATGTTGTGTTTCTCTACTTAAGAAAAGCCTTCAACTCTGTTTCCCATAACATCCTCATAGACAAACTGATGAATAAGGGCTAGATAAATAGCGAGTGGGACTGAAACTGGCTGAACTGCCAAGCTCAAAAAGTTGTGATCAGTAGCACGAAGTCCAGCTGGAGACCAGTCACTAGTGATGTACCCCAGGGTTCAGTACTGAGGCCAACACTCTTTAACCTCTTCATTAATATCCTGGATGATGGGACAGAGTGTGTCCTCAGCAAGTTCACAGGCAGTGCAAAACTGGGAGGACTGTTTGATAGACCAAGTGGTTGGGTGGCTGTACAGATGGGCCTCAATAGGCTGGAGGAACTTCAAGCAGATCAACAAAAACGAAGTCCTGTGCCTGGGGAGGAATAACTTCATGCACCTGTATGTGCTGGGGACTGACCATCTAGAAAACAAGTCTGCAGAAAAGGTGCTGGTGTGCAATAAGCTGACCATAAGCCAGCAATGTGCCCTTGTGGCAAAGAAGGCCACTAGTATCCTGGGCCGCATTAGAATGAGCATTGTCAGTAGGTTGAGAGATGTGATCCTTCCCCTCTGCTCAGCACTCATGAGGCCACATCTGCAGTGCTGTGTCCAGTTCTGGGCTCCTCAGCATGAGACACATGGACGTACTGGAGTGAGTCTG